AGTTCATCAAAGCCTGAATGCTTTGATACTTGGTGTATATGTACCTTGGGTAGACCTCTCTCAGATTTGTTCATTTCATGATCATATCTTCAATTCGCTAATTTTGGTGAATATTTTTGTCATTTTTGGTAAAAAGTGATATTTTCAACTTCTTGTTAAAAACCGCAAGTCCAATTGCTTTGATATTACATATATAGGTACTACATGTGGACCTCTCTCAGATTTGTTCATTTTGTAATGATATCTTTAATTTTCTAAATTTGGTGAATATTTTTGTCATTTTTGGTAAAAAGTGATATTTTCAACTTCTTGTTAAAAACCACAAGTCCAATTGCTTTGATATTACATATATAGATACTACATATGGACCACTCTCAAATTTGTTCATTTCATGATGATATCTTCAATTCTCTAATTTTGATGAATATTTTTGTCATTTTTGGTAAAAAGTGATATTTTCAACTTCTTGTTAAAAACCACAAGTCCAATTGCTTTGATATTACATATATAGATACTACATATGGACCACTCTCAAATTTGTTCATTTCATGATGATATCTTCAATTCTCTAATTTTGATGAATATTTTTGTCATTTTTGGTAAAAAGTGATATTTTCTTGTTAAAAACCACAATCATTTATGGTCAAAAATGATATTTTTGAATTCTTGTTGAAAACAGCAAGTCTCAGCCGAGAGGCTGCTTGTTTTTACAAAACGGAGAAAGTAGCATGGGCACCATGAAAAAAAAATGGCCGCCAGTCGGCCACATTAGTTTGAATCACAGAAAAAATGACATGCAAAAATGTAACCCAATATGTATGATCATCATACCAACTTTGATCCAAATTGGCCTCGTCATCTCTGTGAAACGGACATGTGAAAATGACGATTTATAGTGCTTTTACATAAAAATTGGGCATCAGCCAGCCATATTGAATCACAAAAATAATGTTGGTACAAATGTATCCCTTGGTATACTATCTTTGTACAAAACATAAAGAGAAAGTAGCATGGGTACCATGAAAAAGAAATGGCCGCCAGTCGGCCATATTTGTTTGAGTCGTTTATAAAATATGACGAGCACCTATAACAAAATATGTATGATCATCATACCAAGTTTGATCCAAATTGGCCCAGTCATCTCTGAGAAACGGCTCTAGACATGTAACAATGACGATTTAGCGCTTTTACATGAAAATTTGGCGTCTACCAGCCATATTGAATTGAATCACACAAATCATGTTGGTGCAGATGTATCTCTTGGTATACTATCTTTGTACAAAATTTAAACAGAAACGTTCATTGCATTCAAGATAAAGTAGCATGGGTACCATGAAAAACAAGATGGCTGCCAGTCGGTCATATTTGTTTGAATCACGAAAAAAAAACTGACATGCACCTACAACCCAATATGTATGTTCATCATACCAACTTTGATCCAAATGGGCCCAGTCATCTCCGAGAAATTGCTGCGGACATGTTTAGGTATCAGAATTTGAAATAGCAAATTTTACATCCAAAATGGCCACCAGTTGGCCATTTTTGCTCGGATCATAAGATATTATGTATTGTCTTCATGTAAAGTTTGAATCAAATCCGTCAATGGGTGTCCGAGATATAGTTTCGGACGAATGAATGGACTAACTGAACAAACCCAAATTAATACCGGGTAGTCCCTGTTTTCGGACTTCGTCCGAACGGGGACTAAAAAAAAATAGGCTTGATTGTACTTCTCTGCTTTGCAGTCTGAATAATTCCAGAACACAAGTTTAATTTAAATTTGCTTTTTTTAAATATCAGAAATTGCCTAATTTATGCTACTTCTACAAACTACCCCAAAGCACCGACACTATCGTGTTTCATTGAAATCCGAGTTATCAAGATATCTATGGAAAAGCTTAAAATATGCTAATTAGATAACTAATCTACACAAATGTATCTTTGAAATGCGATGATTGGTTTTTCAAGATATCAGTGGAATAGCAACAAATTGGCTAATTAGTACTTTGTAAGCGCAATTTCAACACAAAAATTAACAGGTCTTTCACGTTCTTCCCATGAATCTAGAATCGTTGGCTAATTATGCAAATTCAGTAATTAGTATGTACAAATTTTGGGCATCTGTGTATCAAATTTCATTGAAATGCAATCACTGGTTTTTGAGATCACTGAAAAAGCTGAAAGTTTATTATGCAAATCGGGTAATCAATATGCAGATTTTAACCTGAAACTAATCAGGTATTCGCACTGTCCAAAAATATCTATGTACCCAAGTTTCATTGGAATGTGATGATAGTACTTCAGATATTGGTAAAAATATATCAACACAAAATGAAGCCAAAAATTTACTAATCGTTATGCAAATTAGTTAATTAATATACATCGACTTCAACCCACAACTAATCAGGTCTGCACATTATCTCGGAGTACCTATGTACCATGCGTCTTTAAAATATAATTGATTATCGAGACTCTTATATGTGCTTGTCTAAAATGAACTGCAATATTGATGTTGCCACTCAAATTTAAAAACAGCAGAATGCTGTTCCTCTAGCAGATTGAGCCGTGTTTGTAGTCTAGGGAAATATTCGCTGCACCATTTCAAATTCCCATATGCTTTCTTATGAATAACCATATTCAAGAGGTGACATTGCAGCCATTTGGTGAATAAAAGTGCCTTGGATCAATATGGACCACTTCTTCGTCTGCATTGCCACTTATGGTTCAGCAAATTCGTTAGCACATGAACACTGCAACATCTCCCTGGGAGTTAAGATTCATTAATCCAGCAATTCATTTTGACCGATATACAAACCAAGATTACAGCAAGAACTACAGAGAACAGAACAAATGACAGCTGAAACATGCATTAGTCTGATCTGGTAAGTAGCAGGATGCGGTTAAATTTATTCACTGTAGTTATTTTAAAGTTCGAAAAAGAAAACCTGTTGGTAGGACAACAGTATTCGTTTGATGAACAAGCAGCACGTCGACTGAGATAGCTCCGCTGTTAGCAATACACATTTCAATTAATGAACTGAAGGTATCATTAGAAAATAAACAATATGTATAGTATCAAAGCAATCGGACTTCTGTTTTCAACAAAAATGTCAAAAATATTCATCAAAATTAGATAATTGAAGAAATCGTGACGAACAAATTTGAGAAAGGTCTACCTGAGGCACCTATATGTATAGTAACAAAGCAATCAGACTTGCGTTTTTTATCAAGAAGTCGAAAATTTGGTTTAACGGTTTTGAAGACAAAAATGTAAAAAGTTGACGATATACTACATATGCTGGATGATCAGTAATATGAACGGCTTCGCGTCGACAGCGGGGCTAAAAATCTGATGTGCAGAGATACCAAATCACACATTTATTTAAGAGTTTCATTGAACAATTATCTAAAACAAATTGTTTTCAGATCAAACAATATTAAAAATTACATTTGCTCATCCATATTGCTTTGTTAAACAGAAAATTCCCACGGCACAATAAAGCACAAAGTTGCGTTTAATATTGTAACTTTATTTAACGCTAAACATACAAGTACATCTGTAATCCAACTTTGATAGAATATTTTGTGAAAACTATCTCCGTTGCAGGGAACCGACTTCAAGCAGGGTTGCAACATTACAGGAAAATAAAATAAATAATCATGTTGCTCAAATAATTCTACCTGTACTGTATTAATCTCCATGTCCCCTTATCAAATATACATGAATTATATAAAAGTTACTAAAAAATAATAGTAAAGCAACATTTTAAAGCAAAAATGTATAAATACTAGCCAACGTGTTCCTCAATAATACATGTACGGTACTGTATTATTAAAAAACTGATTTTATAATATATAGGTATATATATATATAAACAAAATAAAATACAAGCCTGATTTGGCAGGAAAAGTACACAATGAAAACAAAATGGTTTATAGATCTTTGGGATATCTGTGTCTCCTTACAAGTACTATAAAATTTAATGTCTTTATTCCATTTACTTATTTTGCATCTAACAAATGTTTTATTTAAGCCAAATTTTATACCATCATGAAAATTGAACTAGAAGATGGTCAAATAAGTTATTGTAATGACAAGAAGACTACAAATTTGACTTGAAATTTCACAAATAACTTGAACACATTATCAGAGTTGGGGAAAAACTGAGTTACTGTGACCAACGATTTGCAGCGTTTTTTTTATTCTATTCCTCCACTGGTACTTCCTGTGGTCTTTTCAAGTTGATGACGTATGGTTTGGGTTTTTCCTGCACTTCTACATTTTTGGTTGCAACCAGCTTTGGGAGCGGTGCGGTTACTTTGTGTTCCAGAGTCATGTGGTTGATTGGTGACAATCCAATGCAGGCTCGGAAGATGTTCTCTAAACAGGCGCGTTGTTTGAAGAGTGCGTTGACCACTGGTGTACCAGGAGGAACTAGCGGCGCTTTACAGAGATAGCTCAGGATGGACAGCACTGGGTGGAAAGTTTCCCAATCATCACTGTTGGCTATAAAAAGAGAATTGGTAACAAAAATTGAATTTTTAGTATGCTTTGAAACTAAACACAAAGAAAGTTTGTGCAAAAACAACACAGTTGTCAGTCTGAAACTGGGTAAGTGCACCTTGTTTATTTTAGCGTTTCAAATGTTTTTCATCTTCAAATCAATATTTAATGCATGTATTCAAAAACATTATTTATTACATATTGTTGTCGTATTGAAAATTTAACCACACCATTTTCCCCCTGAAGAAAAATTTTAAAATCTTTCTGTTTTGGCCCTTAGAAAATATATATAGGAAATATCTGCAGCTAATTACTAATCTACAATTGCCCCTTTTAAAACCAGAAGTTTGTCAGCTAAAGTAAGCTCATTATTATTGATGTGAAAATGATCCACAGTAGAAAACGTTTACATATATACGTGTACATTGCAACAGCTGAACATTGGCAATTGTTATGTCCAGATTTTAACCCTAATACCAAGTTCACTGATTCTCGATTGACATTTGTTGATTTCATAATTTTAACACCTGTAGGTGGGGAAAAATCATATCTATTTGGTTCAAAAATGTCAATTTTGGCATTCAAAGGATTTAAATACAAATTTTGGTTCAAATTACCTGTCTTGAAATTGATTCTCTGGCACATCTCGCAGAGGATAACCAAGTCTAATATGATTGGACTAGCAAGAAGCGAATCCTCGCACGTATTGTGCATCACGATGGTATTGTGGCCGCCCATCATAATCTCAGAGGTATATTCGTCCATCGCACGCTTACTGTCACCAACGAATGGTACGTATTTAATAACGACGCAGTGATCTGGTTTCTCATTTTCTTTGTACAAGATAGAATTAGACTGGACCATATCATCAACTACGTTGCTCTTGGAGATCTCCTTGGAACGGAATTGTTGGGGTGCAGATAGATTCTTTCCGTCGTTGTTGCCAAGGTGATTGTAACTCACAATGGATACAGGCTGTGATTCAAAGCAAAATTTAGAAAGAAAAAAAAAAGGCATCAAAATTTTAAATGTTAAATCATGAGTACCGCATTTGCTCTATTGCATCAGTAGAAGATTATTTTGCACAATATCCATTACTAGAATAGAGCAAATATGGTAATATTTTATTGTCAGCTTTTTATTTAAAAGGGATACGTTATTAACAATTTAACCTATGCAAAAAACAAAGCTTAAAGGCAAGTAAACAATTCCAGACTTATTTGATTATTCGCAACCCAAACAAAGTTTGATTACCAATACGACAAATTAAGTTGATTTTTATACTTGTGACTTTTATGTACATGTTAAATTTTTTTGCATGAAATCAAGCATAGCAATCACTCCATTGTATTATCACCAAATTATGACCTTGTTAATAATCAGCAAAGATCAAGAACAAGGAAAAAGTGAGTGAATTTCATGAAAGTCACTTTCACAGAATGTGATTACTGAACGACATTCAACAAATTGTATTGTTGACTGTAGCCTTTATTAGTTATAACTGTAGAAGAAACCAAATCGAGTGTGCACCATATAAATTCATCTTACATTCAGTGCAGTACAATCTCTAACAAGTGTGAATTATGTATTTCAACCACAGCCGAATTTTTTGTAGCAACGATCAATGTGATGATCAATGTGAAAAAGACCAGGCTTTAGATAAATGTGGATTAGGTTCAATTGTATTGTGTCACTGAAAAAATAAGCTTTGATGGTATGAAACTTGCCCATGTCGCATGTAGGACTGGTTGCAAATGCATGCAGTTCCTTCAAGTATCAGAAGAGAAACCTACTTTGATACTGATCACAAACATTCACACCAAATTTAAACAAAATCAGTAAAAATGTGCCTGCATAAGGAACAGGTACAACACTGGCACATAAATTTTTCATTAAATCGTGAGAATAAATTATGTGCACCATACTCTGTAAAAAACAGACTTGTGTCTCGTCTTTGTACTTTCTTGAACAAGGTATGCAAGAGGGATGATGAAGGACATGTGAAAATAAAACCAATATGGCCAAGTTTGAAGGGAATTATTAAACAAACCAACATATATCAATAACCGATTTTCGATGAAATGACCACCAATTGGTTAAATTACATCAAAATCTAAAAATAATAACAATATTCAACCTACTTTGTCTTGCTTTTGAATCAAATTTAAACAAAACCTATAAAAGTTTATAAGAAAAACTTGTGGAACACTTGAAAGAAACAAAATGGTCACTGGTCAGCCATTTTCAATCAATGAAGGGAATTATTACACAAACAGACATGCATTAATAACCGATTTTCGATGAAATGACCACCAATTGGTTAAATTACATCAAAATCTAAAAATAATTGAACAATATTCAACCCACCTTGTCTTGCTTTTGAATCAAATTTAAACAAAACCTATAAAAGTTTATAAGAAACACTTGAAAGAAACAAAATGGCCACTGGTCAGCCATTTTCAATCAAATCAATAAATTGGACATCAGTTTCCCACCAAGAGTGATGTAAATATCAAGTTTAAATTGAAATCAGTCAAGGCATGTCCAAGAAACTGCTGATGACATGTTAAAATGTTGAGTTTTGGTGTGTGCTGGGTTTATACAAATTGATGTACATATGCAGACTAATTTGTACCAAAAATCAGTCCAGGCATGTCTGAGTAATGATGTTTTATGAATGCACAACCAGAACCCAAAACACAAGTCCATGTTTTAGTAGCATTTATATGTACGTGATGAAGTGTATACCATTGTATTAGTAGACCTAAACATAACCATTTTATGTTATGAGGCAGCAAAGTAAAAATACTGAATTGACCGAATTTTAGAATTTAACCATAAGCTTCACTCAATTCATTTCTTGACCTCGATCTCATAATAAAACAAACCTTTTTTTTTTTTAAATTCTCCACACACAATGTACATATAAAACTGTTTTGTTTTTATTTTACCTCAGTGGTGCCATTCCTATGGCACTGTTAATGCAACATGTAAATATAATTGGTGTGCAGCTTCTGAAGCAAATGAGCTCTCGGGTCACTGAAACGAGAGGACTTTTTACAAAGCAGAATATGTTAGTGGTACGGGGTGGGGTTGCAAAGAAGGGCCATAACTATTCCAGTCCTTTCAGCTTAATCTAATCTATCAAAACAGAGCGTACCTAATACAACCTTGCCCCATGAGAATCTAGATATTAAATAACATTTGACACAAAACTATGTATTTATTTGTTTGGTGCGTAGTATAAATTTTCCTTGCAGGGTAAGTTTAATAATATTAAGTTCTGAAATAATGCAGTATCTAAAATTTGTGTATGGAAATTACTGGCTAAAATTTTATCAAAAAATTGAACAAGAACAATGAGCTCGTCATGATATTATTCAATATTCATGTTTCTAATATTCATTATTATCAGTGTCAAAACTTACGAGTGTCCCCTTCCCCTCCAAAAATGTTATTGTTTGGCACATTTTTTTAATTTATTGGATACTATAATCTTGATGGATCACAGAACTGTTCCAGTTTTGGTGCTCCATTATGTCATCAGCCATAAATTTTTCCTTTTTGGACCTACGGTTTAACACCAATTTTTAACAGTGTTGGGGACTATGGAAGTGACAACCAACACTCAAGAATGATCATCTAGACAATACACGTGAACCAAAACATTACTTTTTGAAGTTCTGCTAGCATTACCAGATAATAGTGATAATAATAGTGAACCAAGAAACGCATGCAGGGAAAAAATGAATGTAAATACTGGTAATATTTCTGACCAGCAATATATCCAAGCAAAATTTGGGAGAAAAATACTAACTAGCGTTTTGGTCAGAAAAGAACATGTCAATTGTTTTTTCGAGGAAAAATGATTTCAAAGTTTGAAGATGATCAAATAAAAATTGAGTTATGTAACCACAAGATAAAAGTTTAAAACAGAGACAACTAGACATTTTCCCCTTGTATACCTTCTCCATCTAATGATGTTCAGGGCAAGGTAATAAAAGCACTCAAACAAGAGATAGATTGCAATGTAAACCCCCCTCCACCCCTCAACTCCACCCCACCCCAACCACCCACCCCAACCAAATTCACAGAGAACCAGGTATCATGGAAACATTGTCAAAAACAGAAATTTGAAGAAGCAGAAAAAATAACAGACTGCAAAGGAAAAGTAATCAATGTACACTATCATGGCACCAGCTTTGTATGTGACCTGCGACCTGTTTAATTCAGCTTATGGGTTGGTCAGAAAAAACTGGAGCTGAAAATAAAATGCAGATTAAGACTTGACAATTGATTAGAAAATTGTAGATATTACCATGAAATTAAACGAGGTACCTATATATTTAATGTCAAACCAATCAGGTTTTCAGGAAAAAGTTAAAAATATAACTTTACAAAACATGACAGAAATATTTATCAAAATTAGAGAACTGAAGATATCATTACCAAATGAACAAATTTGAAAGAACTACCCAAGGTACATTTGTAGTGTGTATGAAAATTCATACAGCTGAAGTTTTTTTAAGAAGTTAAAAATGTAAAGTTGGCATAAACTAACAGTAAGCAATATGAATAGCTCTGTTCTGTCTACGCAGTCCCGCGCAGAGCTACAAAGGCAATGGCTTCTTGGTATCTTAGAACACTTGAAACGTGAATATTAAATTCCAATGAGAAAATCAAGTTTTAAACCATGCAGATATGTCAGTTTGCCAATGTTGGGTATATGATAACGCAGTGAAGGAGTAATACTAATGTCTACCAGTAGGATAGCAAGAGTTAGTATTGTAACAGCAGATTAGGGAGCATTAACATTGTACCATTAGGATAGAGGGCATTAGCACTGTAAAAGGAAGATAGAGGGCATTAGCACACTAACAGTAAGATAGAGGGCATTAACAATGCGTCAGCAGGATAGAGGGCATTAGCATTGTAACAGTAAGATAGAGGGTTTAGCACTGTAACAGTAAGATAGAGGGCATTAACAATGCGTCAGCAGGATAGAGGGCATTAGCACTGTAACAGTAAGATAGAGGGCATTGGCACTGTAACAGTAAGATAGAGGGCATTAACAATGTATCAGCAGGATAGGGGGCATCAACAATGTGGGATTGCAAGGGAGCATTGATCAGTCATCTTACCTTGATACCGGCACTGACAAGGAAATCAACCAAGACCGACTTAATTTTTGTCTGACCAGACTTAAAGTCATCCCCACCAATGAATACTTTGTGCTTGGCAGCCAGTTCAATGACGCCAGGAACCAGTGTATTCTGTGGTGATCCATTAATGTATGCACATCCTTCCAGGATACTAGCAACAGCAAATATAGTCGATGGTGAAACCTCCGATTCACCATGCTTGATGGAAGCTAGAAGGTTTGCAGCAGTGTCGTTGAGACCAGACCTGACATCCGAGAAGCGTTCTGTGTTCGCAGTCCATAAAACAATCACCTGTAAAATTACAGTTAAATAGTATAGAATACAGAAAGTGCTTAAAATTAAATTTCTGAACCAGAATATGTGGCTAAACTAATGCTTTTATTCAATATTGGGGATAAAGGGTACCAAGTGCAATATATACCTTGTCAAGTTCATTATCATTCTTGAAGTTTCTGATATCCTTTCGTATCTGTTCCATCTGTTCCTGCTTACTGCCATTTAGAACATTATCAGCACGATCAGCCTGGTTAGCGGCAATGAAGTCTGGAAAGTATATGGATGGGCGTGGCTTGTATTTTTCCATATGCTTGTACAGTTGTTTTTGTAACTGGACATCCAGTACGCAAGCTCTCTCCATGGCTTCAGCTAAATCCAATGAGGAAATGTCCCAGCCATCGAACACTATATCTTCTGGTTCTACCATGGGTAAAATGTCTTTGAAAGGAATGTACACATCTCCATGTTGTCCACTTCCAAGACAAATTGTTGATGCTTGAGTCAGAGAACCAAAATAATTGGCATGCTACGAAGAAAGAAAATATTTAAAGAAATTTCTCACAAGTGTCATTTTACAGTGTGTTGCAGAAATCTGTGGAAGTTATTTTTTAATTTCAAAAATGGCTGCTGGATTTCCAGCATTAGTGTTGTGACAACTGCACATGCATTATAATTTATCTTCAGTTTGCATAAGTACTTTGTAACAATGCAAGACTTACGTTTTGTAAATATAACGTTTTATAAAGTTAAAGTACTGGGGGGGGGGGGGGGGGGTCTGAATCAACATTACCGGGTAATACCATTTTGTCAGCAGAAATACAGTTATAAGGTAGTTATTTCACTATACCAGCTTCAGTTCTGTGTTGCATCATCTTATGAAATATGGAAACATACAATGATGCACTCAAAATGAATATTGACAAAATATCATTTATATTCTTTTGTCATCGGTACAGACATTTGCGAAATATTACTGGGGGACAACATACGAGCATGTACACTCAGCTAACGAAAAACTGCTGCAAATAGGCTCATGAATGATTGATTATATAATCTACCCCCCCCCCCCCTTTTGTCTGAAGTACATTCAGTATCATAGCAACCATGCAACACTCCATCAAGTCAAAAAACTCATCTATTGACCAATGTTGTTTTGACATCATAGTGAATATAAATTACTCTTGATGTTTTAGTTTCATATCATCCAGTCAGAAAGTGAGAACTGTCCAGGAATTCTTTTTAAGGCACAAGCTAACATTATGGGTTATGCAATAATGAGCTCATAGAACCTTGATGACAAATCAAGCAAAGCTTAGAATGAACTCGTGTATGTGCTGAGGGTATTGTGGGAATAAGAATTACAAGTAGGGAATATTTAAATAAGATTGGTAATGTATATGCTCTTTGAGATTTACAATAAGTTATCTGATTCGTAGTATTGGTATAGAGAACTAAAAGAATAAATTTGATTCCAGCAAACGGATTTATGCAAATTAGTAATTAATATTTGTTTATTAATATTTAATATTCATTTCAGCCCCTAATCAGGTCTGGATTATCCAAGAGCAACTACAAATTTCATTGAAATCTGAAGATTGGTGGAAAATTAAAAACTGATTATGTAAATTTTAGTATTACTATGCATAATAATTGATAGTATTAATAAATCAAAGAAAGCTTAGAAAGAACTCCCACGTGCTGAGAGTATTGGAGACACATTAAATATAATTCAAATTAAATTAAATTAAATATATTCAATTCATTAAATATATTGTCATAGATAGTGATAGTGATGGAAAAGCCGAAAACTAATAATGCAAATCAGAAAATTAATATGAACAGATTTTAATGGAAAACTAATGAGGTCTGCGCAATATAACTGACCATATATGTACCAAGTTTTATTGAAATGTGATGGAACCCAAAAAAAATTATAAATTATTATGCTAATTAGGGAATTAATATAAACAGATTTTAACCCCAAACTAATCAGGTTTGTCCTGGAGCAGCTTTGCACTGAGTTTCATTGAAATGGAATAATTAGTACTTTAGATATCAGTGTGATAGCTTAAAAGTGGTTAATTATGTAAATTAGTAATTAATATGTACAGATTTTAACCCACAATTGTTATTGTCTACAGCATCCATGTAAAAAGTTTCATTGAAATGTGATGATTAGTACTTGAGAAATCTGTGAAAGCTGAAAATTAATTAATTATGCAAATTAGGTAATTAATATACACAATTATTTATCCTAAAACAATCAATCTCTGCATAGTCCTTGAGGATCTATGTACCAAGTTTTATTGAAATGTAATGCTTACTACTTGAAACATCAAAAGCTGAAAGTTAATTAATTATGCAAATTAGGTAATTAATATGCACTGACATTACCTTAAAAACTATCAGGTCTGTGCAGTGTCCTATGACATCTATGTACCAAGTTTCATTGAAATGTGATGATTAATACTTGAGATATCAGTGGAAAAACCAAAAATTGACTAATCATTATGCAAATTAGGTAATTTTTACCAAAAACTAATCAAAACCAAGCATTGGTTCAGAGCATCCATGTACCAAGTTTCATCAAAATGCAATAAGTGGTTCTTTAGATATCAATGGAACAGCTAAGAATTAGCTTATTATCATGCAAATTAGGTAATTAATATGCATGAAATTTTACCAAAACCTAATCAAATCTGCGCATTAGCCCAGAGCATCTATGCACCAAGTTTCATCAAAAACTGATGTATGGTTCTTGAGATATCAATGGAACAGACGGACACACATACACACACACACACACACACACATACAGACACACTAACCGCAAAGACTCCCATTTTGTGCTTCGCACATGGGAGTCAACAAAGGTTGAAACTTGAACTCTGCCTATAGGACAGAATAAATATGTCCCAGTACAGTGCCTTGCTCAAAACAGACCCTAGAGGGTCTATGCTCAAAATAATGAAAATTATAGAATTAATAGTTTGGTGCACGTCTATATCATTAAGTGGTCTACCCTAACCTCTGTTAATGGGCACCTCTAAAGAGCAGCTGCCTGTTTATAGCAGCTGCGGCCCGACAGTCCAGGGCAAATATTGGAATATTTTTCTTTTCTCTTACTGATTTCTGCAGGATGTTTTTCTGTGTAAATTATTGTTTTCAATTACTGTAAAATGACTAATTTTCACTGGGTTTAAATTTCGTTGATTTAGCATTTCAGGCATATTCAGTGGGTTTTAAATTAACGTTTTATCATTTAGATAATTTGTTCTATGCTAAATTTTACATATTCACCGGGTTTTAATTTGGCTCATTTTCCAGTCAGCGAAATAAGCAGAATTAAAACTCAGTGAACAATTAACCCTTTTTACAGTATGCCATTGCTGCCCCCTGAGAAATGTACACTGTATAGAGCACCCTCAAGCAGAAAGAATTCACAGTCCTGCTGTTTGAGGGAGATCACACATGCATAAATTAACATAAGCTGAAGGCTGAAGGCTGATAACAGATCGATTATACCCTTGTTAATGCTTTGAAATTTGGAAAAATATGATTTATACGTGATCATTGAAATGTGTGCACGTTTTTTTTTTTTTTGTCCCCTTGTGATTAATACAGTGGCTAATCAGACAGAACAAGTATTAGTGATTGTTGGAGTTTTAGAGTGTGAATTGTCAAGTTTAATGATATAGGCTTGCATTACATTACCCAACTGTTTTTTATTCTATAACTTCCATTATTTTGAGGATACGGTTATTTCGACACATAAACATCCATCAACTTCAACAACCACTACCACACGAATACAGGAGTTGATCACTAGGTAACTTACTCTCAAGAAATTAGCCCATAAAAAGGTATTAGGAAAATGTACAGAATTTTTGTTAAAAAGTTAGCCTGTACTCCAGGGCTGCCTCCAGTATTAATTGACACTACTGAACAAATGCTGCACTTTGTACACAGCTGGATGTGATTGTCGATAATATTTTATTCTAGGGGGGAAACAATGCAACCTTCCACATGAAAAGATCTTTAGCAACGGACAGACATTCATTGTGCCTGTTGCCTACAAGTTATCAACCTACCTGCATGCCACTTTTGGTTTCCCATGACAGACCGAGTTTATTGGCAATGACGGCTGCTGTAACAGTTGTGCCATTATTGCCGCCCCATCCTACCAACATGCAGCCAACTCTGGGTTTCTTGCGTTCAGTACGGAACTTGAACTGAGTCGAGACTGGTACAGCTCTCATGGTACCATTGTCCTTGAGTATTTCGGTTGTTTCATACTTGTAGTCACTGATGATAAAGTTTTCAGTGTAACTTACGTTGGGACTATCCACTTTGAATGCCATTTTTGATGAAGAGAAAACACCTACGCCCATGCGAGAAAAAACGGGTTTAATTTAATACAGCTATAAAAAGCCAAAATTGCTATAAAAAATAAACACAATTAAAATATACTGGCTGTAAACTTCCCACCATACAACCACGAAGTATATGTGTCGGCCAATCAGGTTCTCCGATAAGCGATGACGTGTTGGTTGGATGTCGTTGACCTTTCAGTGAACTGTGTCTTCCATGTCCGACGAATTTTCTAGAGCCGGCGTCGAGCCCAGACTACAGACCGGTGCGCGTCGCTTTCAGTATGTTCGGAATATATTTTAACGATTCAAAGGTAAAAAAAAACGAAGATGATATTACTGGGTTGGGTCATGGAACACCATGAGTTGTGGGAGGAAAATTTTTAAAATTGAAACGGAGAGAATGCATGTGAAATTATTGGCGGGAAAACAACATAAACAGAATAGTTGAAATCACCATAGTCGTCATGCAGCATTTTCAATTTAATCACGGTTAGTACCAGTTACTAGTAATCGTGGTGTGATGTGCCAGCTTACTGCCTCCGTATAAAGGAAACGAAACCAAGCAATCAGACGATGTCATGCGTGTTTTCAAACGCGTACATGTATCCGTCGCATGGGACCCATAGTGATGTGATGACCGAAAAACATTGATGGACGTATTCCACTTAATACTAAATATAAAAAAATCTATTAGGGAAAATTCCGTACCTGCGTATCTGTATGGAATTGCGTTGCACGAAAGAAAACGCGAGAGTTCTCGCACGATCTAATTCTTACCTATTTATATGCCCTTGTTGTCGCGTGGTCTAATTTACATCAATATAAATCCCGAATAAACCATTCATGCAGTAGGTTGTGGTGGTTATGTTTTCGAATACTCTCGAATATACAAGAAAATTTTCGGTGAAAACGGAGGCATACGATTTGAACGCGAGCCAAAATGAATGTGGGTAAACTGTGTCAGCTGGCCAGAAATATACCTGATCATGGTCCATGTGTGCGTGAAATTAACATTATGTCTGCTAAAATCCAATATGGGCATGACAGTGCAACGCCCGCACCAAACCAATGTTTTCAACGGAAAATTCCACTAGAACATTCGAGAAACTGTACAGCCGACTGTACATGATTGAAACGTCACAACTAAATAATGTGTTATACTAGTATATCGGTCACCTTAACAAATATAACCAATACTTTTTGTTATTCAGTTTTGTCTTTGAGATTTATTTATCTATTTATCATCTATTTTCTTCTCTGTGCTTTCGAGAAAGTTATGTTTTAAAATTATATAACATGTACTAACATTAGTTCCTTCCATGGTCTATGTAACCGATTAGATCACGTAACGACCACGCCCCGA